CATGGACCAAAGTGGTGTGTGCCCCCACATCAAGATAGGGACACAGTTGGGCACTCCGCCAAAGGTGGAAATGTGCGGAACGGATCACTGACACCTGGATCTCCATGGTGAGCGTTGGGTCCAGACATACACCCAAGCTGCGAACCTCACTCTTGGTGGTAAGAGTCACCCCCCCCAAAAAAAAAGAGAGTGTTTCCCAGACCACTGATGTCTGGAGCGCCCACTTGAAGGACCTATGTGTTGCTCGGATTCAGTCTCAGTCCGTTCTGCACCCATTGCTGAACAGCCCCCACACAGCACTCAAGGGACAAAATAGCATCCACTGTTGTTGGAAAAAAGGAGATGTAGAGCTGAGTATCATCAGCGTACTGATGACACGAAGCCCCACATCCCCTGATGACTCCTCCCAGCGGCCTCATATAGATGTTAAACAGCATTGGAGAGATAATCGAGCCCTGCGGAACCCCATAATTGAGGCTCCATATGGCCGAGAAACCTTCTAAGAGTGATTTAAAAGGTTTCAACATAGATCAGGCTCTACTAGTACCAAATACTCAAAACATTCGTTTTGGAAACTTATTTTAAAGTAGAAGAACCATCCAAGAAAAGATTGAGGCCGCTTATCAATTTCAATCCTGACCAACAAGTAATTTATTTATTAATTGTAATTTATTCCATCTTTATGGCAGTTATAGATCATTTGTTTGGAACACTTGGCTGCAGAGCCAGAGGTCAGGAGTTTTAATTCTCACCGTGCTTCCTGTGAGAGTGGTAAATCAAGATAATCTGAACCATGTGTTTATGGGTTTACACGCCTTTTCATCCATTGTGCTGTTGGTGAAGGGGATAAACTGCTTCTGAATAACATCTATCTAGAAAATTCTGAGGGTTGCCAGACTTGATACCTCATTATTATTACAGTACTAATGGCTCCAAAAGATGGAAACATCTCACTTCAGGGAGAAAACTGATCTATAAATACTCTTGTTTTTTAAGGTTCAAGTTGACTTAATTATTGCTTATCATGTAGTTTTCACTTTTCTGATATGTTCAGTATTAATCTTGGAGGAACCAGAAGATGTTAAAAGTAGATGACCTGAAAAGCCTTTAGAAAACAGAAGAAAGTCCTATTCAAATTACTCCAACTACTGCACATAAACTTCTTAATGTCATATACTGTACTGAAGGACACAACTTTAGCAGTAGCATCACAGCAATAAGTCTGACAAAGCAGCTGCTTCATCCACCATTATAAATACATCCCATTGACAGACCTGTTAAGTACCGTGTTTCCCCGAAAATCAGACAGGGTCTTATATTAATTTTTGCTCCAGAAAATGCATTAGGGCTTATTTTCAAGGGATTTATTTTCATGTACAGCAATCTACATTTATTCAAATAGTCATGTCATCTGGTTGCACAATGGTGGGGGGAGGGGTTTCATTTAACTAGGGCTTATTTTTGGGGTAGGGCTTATATTATGAGCATCCTGAAAAATCATACAAGGGCTTATTTTCAGGTTAGGTCTTATTTTTGGGGAAACAGGGTATAGGCAATGTCGATTATATAGTGTTAACATGAATGTGAATAGGTATGATTGGATGGGAAGGAGCCATTATACCCAGAGACACAACTCTTGGAGTTGTGCTTTCATTTGATCACTTAATAGTTCTGTGCCGCATTCATAACAGTTAAATATTTAAGTAGCCATAATAATGACTTCTTCATTTTGCTTTACGATTGCCAGTAACTATGTGAAAAATTACTGTAGTTGCCACTGAGTGTACTTAGGGATCTAACTGTAATGGCTAAAAAGTCTTAAGTATCTTTATTGGCGTTAGGAAAAATACACAGAGAGAGCAGTGTGGCAATTAAAAAAATATTTAATGCTGCCAGAAGTATAAAAAAATACAATTAAGAATGGCAGTACAAAGTATTTTCTAATGTAACTTCTTACATCTCTACAGATGATACAAGCATAAAACATGTAAGACAAATTATTTTATTTTGCAAAGTCTTTTGCTGGTGCTGTACTTCATTCCCTGGTTGTTTACGTTGTAAACAGATATTTATGAGGCCACTGGGTACTGCTTGGACCTCAATTTTGTTCCTGAAGAGGGATGATGTCCTGCTTTGCAAGCCAATAGTGTGTAATTATAGCTGCAGAATATTCACAAGTCTTGGCGGTTTAGGTGTCCGTCACTCTCGGCCTATAGACACACAACGTAAAAGAGTCACAGGTTCAGTACAGACTGAAGTATTATGTTAAGTTTCAGTTTCACTGCAATAGCAAAGAATAAAAAAGAAAAATGTGTGTTTTTATAATAGAAATGTACTAATGGTTTGTTTGTTTCTGCTGAAAGTTTACTGTTACATCTTAGAAATAAAAACTAAAGTAAAAGCTTATAATTAAACATTTGAAAGGGAGGAACAAATGCAAACAATCAAGATGGCACTGAAAGGCAATTTTAAAAATAGTTTAATGCTTATAATAAACTGAAATGGTAATGCCATTTACAGAAAGTCTCTCTCCCCCCTTTGTTTTAATTGGAAGTCTACATCCTCATTTGTATATCCAATAACTTATTTTCTGCACAGAAAAAAATATCTTAATGTAATATCTAGTGATATTTCAGTGTTTTATTTCAGCTTCCACAAAGTTCAATTCCTTGTTTAGGAACAGTCAGCTGAGCTTGGCTAGATTAACATCCCCTGAAGATGCTTAGATGAGCGGGGGGGGGGGAGAAGAATTTAAAAAATAGTTGAGGGCAAAAAACAGCCAAGAAGGATGGAATAGATAACTCATGAAGCAGCAGCTGAAGTTGAAAAACCCGAAGACTTTAGAGAAGAACTAGAGAGAGCAAACTTAGTTTTGTCAAGACCTTTTTCCACTCTAGGGTAGAACAAACTTCTTTTACCTTTAACAAGATTTTTGCCCTGCAGTATATCAGCCCTGTTCCCAGGTATGTGCCAGGTGTGTTTCCTGTACAGTACTTGTAAGTTAGCTTCTGTACAATAACCTGATACATTTGGACAGTTTGGACAATTAAAGTAACAAACCATGGTTTAATAACACTTCTCATCCACAAAATGTTGAAACATTTATATAACTAGGTGTGCATTAATACACACGTAATGTAAACTGTGGCACCGTTTTTCCAGAAGGTGTATTAAAATTTCATAGAATCTAGTTGTATTTTTTAAAAATTTTGATTCCTAGGCTTATTTGTGCCATTGGTTTATATGGAATACAGCTTAGGGAGTATGGAACATACACCAAGTGAGAATCATATTGTTCATTAAGTGCACCACGTACAAGTGACTGTCCAGTTTTAGACCAAAGAAAACATTCTAGTCCCTAAAAAGTTATTTGTAACTCAGGAAAAAGTTGAAGTGTTGTTCAGTGGCCAGTACACATGCTTTGCTTCTGGACTGTCCACATTTACACAGAATACTGCATCTGGAAAAGAATCCTGTTAAATTCTAGAGATCTGATGCTTGGCAGTGGAGGAATATGGAGGCATCTGGACCAAGCCATGCCCCTGAGAGACTAAGGTCAGCAAAAGACGATGGAAACTGTGAAAGGATGCCTTAACTAGCAGAAACTCATCCAAAAGTAAGACTTTCTTACTGTGCATTTCTTCTAGTGCACAACAATATCGCATATGGAGGGAAATACTGGAATTTTCAGAAATACTAATTTTTGAATTTCTAGTTTGCATAATTCCACTCTGAGCTGTTCACATTGGAATTAGTGAAACTGTCTCAAATATGACAGCAACTGAGTTATAAAAGGTACACATACTACCTCAATCTCCCATTAAAAAGAATTGCAAGTGTTTTGCACTAGGACAGGTATGCAAGTTGTGAAAGATGGAATTTCAGAATATTCTCGGAAGATTTCTATGCTGTAGGATATAAGGATCTTTCTACTACTTCAGCACTCCTTAGACCTGGGCACTACCCTTTGTGATCATCACTAAAACTCACAAAATCCTGTACAGCACTTGTCCCAATGTTCAAAATGGCTCAATCTGTATCATTATCGAGCCACAATGGAAGATAAATGGATTGGAGCTGCACTTTTGTATTTTCTTCTCTGACTTGAATCACTGATTCACCCTCCTTAAAAGCAGTCTCCTGAACCATCACTTCATGTTTATTACTTACATCTGTATCAGTATTATGTAGTATTATGCTACAGATTTGGGAAAAAAATTGTATTTACCATCAAACAGCAAGCATAACCATTACACAACTCATTCTATAGGCCAATGAAGAAAAATTGTGTTCAATATTCTTTTTTCATTTGCTTTAGTTTTTCTGAAAAATAAAATTCCTGTACTATGTCCATGTGTGTCTTCCTACAACACATCTAATGTTGGCCAGAATCCTATTGGTATTTTTGTATATTTTGTATAACTTGCTCTGATTAACTGCAACTAAATGACAAGATGTGAGAGTATGTCTTGGTTCTGTGCCTGATGGTAAATATAATTTTTAATTGATTACTCAATTAAGACATGTCCCAGCACTTCATCAATTAGCCAGGATTCAGTATGGCAAGTTATACAGATCTTAAGGTAAATGTTCCTCTTGACAATTTGTCCAGTTGTGTTCAACTCTAGGGGGCAGTGCTCATCCCCATTTCCAAGCCATAGAGCCAGCGTTTGTCCGAAGACAATCTTCCGTGGTCACATGGCCAGTGCGACTTAGACACGGAACGCTGTTACCTTCCCACGAGGTGGACCCTATTTACTCACATTTGTATGCTTTCAAACCGCTAGGTTGGCGGGAGGCGAGACAAGTGACGGGTGCTCACTCCGTCATGTGGATTTGATCTTACAGCTGCAGATCTATAGACCTTACAGCACAGAGGCTTCTGCGGTTTAATCTGCAGCGCCATCACATCCCTTACAGATCTTACATGAGCACAAATAGGATTCCAGCCATTATATAAAACATTTATTTTTCAGGAACTACAATAGTTTGCTATGTGCTGTCCAGGACCTTTATAAGAGGGTCATTAAATACTGGAAAAAACAAAACTCAACACACACACACACAAGTTTTCATATTTAATGGAATGTTTGAACTTTAAACACAAGCTATGGCTTCCAACAATAACTGCAATCTTAACATGGCTTCCCTTCAAAAGCATTGGCTTGAGATAGAAGACTCAAGCATTCAGTGCCTTATAAAAATCATACATATTCAAGCATAAATACACGAATGCAACTTACAATGCAGTAATTGAGAAGTATCTCCTATTCGACTAATGCCAAATGTCTGAAAAGGCCATTGCCTAATCACTGAGTCAGGAATAGTGAAGTCGGCAATTTCCAAATCAGTCTAGAAGTGCTGGGCAAGAATGTACCAGCAAATAATACATACTCTGTTAAAGAGATTTGTACAAATGTACCTTTAAAAATACAGTAATTTACAAAAGGTAAGACTGACGAGTGAATTAGAAAATTTATTTTGGCTAAATAGTATAAACAGCTGATATTTTACACAAACATTCAAAGTACAGCATCACACTATTTATTGCTTATATTGGGTATGTGAGTTGGCAGACTCAAATCTTGGAGATTCCATCTGCTAGATCTAACAGGTTATGTTAAGTACTATACATGTAGTTGCTGATAAATGTGCATTAATTTATCCAAGAGTGTTCCGTTTTATTCCAACTATCAATTTGGTTTCAGAAGTACCTGCAGTGGAAAGTCCTGAGCCAGTGACTAGTCATCATTCTCCTGTTGTGCATTATAGGATTACTGCATTAATATCAGATGTAGGAGTTCAGTGCTGCAAGTTAAACTGCCACTAGAGAAGTAGCAGCATGTTTGTTCCATGTGCTGTGGCAGCATTCTTGGACCCAGCAATGCTCACTGAAATGAATGGGATTTAAACTTTTTATCATCAGTAAACACATGATTGAATAAGCACTCACTTATATGAGAACTCCTTGAACATACAATTTCCAGCAAGAATAGACTGCAATGAAAATGGCTGAACCAAATCCAATCTTAGTAAGAATAGGTTTCCAATATAACCACCTTTTTCTTTTTCTTTCAGCTTCACTCAGCCTATGTCTCATCTGCTGCACCATCTGTGCTGTATTGGCTTTCCTATCTTCTCTCAGCCGCTTTCGAAGAGTGCTAAAAAGCAAAGCAAAACTTGAGCCAGTTTTATTAGACTTATAACACATCCCTTAACAGCATAAGTTATATAGCACATAAATAAATAAATAAACAAACAAACAAACAAATAAATAACCATGGAGATGGGAGTTTAAAACATTTTGTCTGAATCAAAGTTAAGTTATTGGTCAACTAAAACATGGTCACTGTTAGCATCTCTAGACCTACGCCGCGGGTTGGACAAGCCTGATCTAGACCTATAGAGAAAGCCTAAGTTCAGAACATTCTCTGACTTTCACATGTCTTCAAGGAAAAAGTTCTATAGGTAGGTAATATATATCAGGAATTCTTTGTGTACCCATATATAGAGAACAAATTAACTATGTTTTGCTGCATACATATCATTTGTATAAACAAAAATAACTAATGTAGAGGTGCGGACATCCTTCAGGCCTGCTTTTGTGCATATATTTTGTACTCTAAAGTAAGTACTGTGGTGCCTCGCAAGACGAGTGCCCCGTTTAACGACGAAATCGCATCACGACAAACTTTGCGATCGCAAAAGCGATCACTTTACAATGTTTTAAATGGGGTTTTTTCGCTTGGCGATGATCAGTTCCCTGCTTCGGGAACCTATTCTTGCAAAACGATGATTTTCAGCCAGCTGATCGGCGGTTTCAAAATGGCCGCCGGGTTAAAAAAAAAAAAAGGCTCCCTGCTCTTTTCTGGGACGGATTCCTTGCTGCACGGGCAGCGAAAATGGCCGCGCTATGGAGGATCTTCGATGGACGGTGAGTTTCAAGCCCATAGGAACGCATTAATTGGGTTTTAATGCATTTCTATGGGCTTTTTTATTTCGCATTACGACATTTTTGTTCTACAGCGATTTTGCTGGAACGAATTAATGCCGTAATGCGAGGCACCACTCTACTAGGAAATAGCTTTCAGATAATGCAAAACCCTTTTTTCTGTTATGAGGGCTTTTCAAGAAAGGGGAAAAGGGTTCATAGTGTAAAATGTTCCTAGTGACTGATAACAAGCAAGGGTGCACAGCATTCCAATTTCTGAACACGATGTCAGACTAGTTTTAAACACTTATCATGTATATACTTTGAACATGATTTGTTTAAAAGAACTCAAATACATGTTATGTCACAGGCTTATTTCTAGGAGTATACTTCAGTTTTATATTACAATAACAATATGTTTTTATAGATATTATGCAAGCTGATAAAGACATACATTTGCAAAGAATCTGCCAACGGTTGCTCACTACCTCATGAACACAGAGGAAAATATATTTATTCACTTGTGACATCTAACAGTGATCGTAACAAGTATATGCAGTTTCTACACAAGGATATCAGTGTCCCTTCGTAGTTAAGTATTATGCCAAAATATCTAGACCAGAAGGACTAAATACAGGTTTAGATTCAAAACCATGGTTTGAAATACAGGAAATGTATGAACTGTGGTTAAATGTTGCATCTGCACTAAACAGGACATGGTTAAGGCATTTTATTCACTTCTTTGGTTGTAAAGTTATTAGAGTTTGTCTCTTGTCCATGCCCTCTGTAACCGGACCATAGCTCGGCAGGCATTGTCAGGGTTTTAGGATATACCACTATACACCACAGAATAATAGTTAAGTATATGTTGTCAAATCAAGTTCAGCTTATGGCAACACTTCCAGTTGTTTTCAGGCAAAAAGTACTGAGAAGTGGTTTTTCAGTCCATCCTAATGCTCTGGGACTGTACAACTTGTCTGAGGCCACAGAGGTAACCTGGCATGTAATTCCATAAACCACAAACACTCTTGGTGATGTTGGCAAGATGCCTCCTAGGAGTCATAGTAGGGAGTCTGAACTCTTGACCCCTAGACCCAACCCACTGATCTATACCATCTTAAATATGTATCCTATGTAGAGATGGGCATCAACTCCACTCCAGTTCAACAGTTCGGCCCTGTCTGATGCTGTGCGTGTACAGGTGTTCCGCAGGTGCCACACACTCCCCTCTCCTGCTTCTGTGTTCTCACCCATTCCCTGGGCGAAGCACACTTCCCTCCCCACCTCAATGCAACTGCCCACTCACCAATCGCAGTGGCTGACCACTCAAAGGCACCACTGCAGGCTTCCATACCCTGCTTTCTTCTCCAAGTGGGCAGCTGCAGGAGGCAGAGGAAGAGGGAAGCAGGTGCTATGAGGGTTAATGGTACTGAAACCAGACCTTGCCTCAACCAGCTACTGGGTGTTTTCTTTTTCAATTATTTATATGTGGGAATGGTGGCAGCTACCTTGCAAGGCTGGTGTGCTCATTCTCAGTCCCTAGCCCTGGGAATTTTTCTTTTTTGAATTAGAGGTGTCCCTGGAACACCTCTAATTCTAAGAGAATAGGGAGATAATATGGATCCAGTCAAATGTCCATAGTTTTCACCACAATCTTCCTGGGTGGTCCCACCCCAGGATAGGCAAGAGTGTGGCTGAGTGCCTGTAAGGAGAGGGCCTTGACCAGAGAATCATGACACTATACTAGCTCATATACCTTATATACTGTTGTGTGTTTTTTTTCAGCATACACCTCACAGCCTGGAACCCTGTCAAAACTGGTTTATGGACAACTAAAAGGGGAGGGTGAATCACACTTTGCATAACAAAACAGGGCAAACCAAGTTTCCTATCAGTCCATACAAAGCACAACTATACACCACAAATGTCACATAAAGAGCTACTGTCTTTAGAGACAGAGCAGTGTAAAGGGTGGCCTTGGTTAGCTTCCAAGTTATACAAACGATACTCACATGTCAGCACTTGCATCTGCAGCATTCTGGCCAGCAGAAGATCGATCAGTGTTTATCTGCTCTGCTTGCTCTTCATTTTCTAATCCCACACTATTCCCATTGTACTTCTCTGTAGATAACTTGGTTGTGTGTGGAGGGGAGCGTTCAGAATTTGGTGCCTGGTCCTCTTTTGACAGTATCTTCCATCGATTCTGAAGGGGGGAAAAATCTTACTTGATTTTGAATGTGACAATCTGCTTTAACAAAATTTATCTGAAAGTTAAAGTTATAAATTCAGAGACATATTGCAACATCCTTTTGTGTGTGTGTCCAAAAACAGTTAAATGTGAACATGAAGATTTTTCCCCCTGGATGAAGGCAATGAGTTAGATCAATGTGTTCCTTTGCACTCTGATGCTCATGGCAATTTTTATTATTACAATACTAAGTATGTAACTATTTTTCTGTTTAATGGAAATGATTTAAGCTTCCGTTCTCTATTGCATGTTTCTGAAGTAAACTGCAAGTACTAGTATCATTTTAGTAATGCAAGAAGCTAAAGCTCTATAACTTATTTTCAATAGCAACATAGGGTCCTCCGTACAAGTAAAGGCTTCCTTCAAGAGGACATACTCTTAAAACATTTATCATATCAAGATAAGTCATCTGTCCAAATATTTAGAGGTTTGATTTGTTTCATAATTAGCACAACTATCTTTAAAATTTTTATTAAAAATACATACTAATGTCACCACTGTGCAACAGCAAAGGATGAAGTACTTACGTCTAGTACTTCGTATTGTTTTTAGAAGCACTACATCAATTTTCCAGGAAAGCAATAAAAGAATCTAGAAGTTAGGCAGCCTACTATATTTAATTATCAATCATACCAGAAGGCCCCAAAGTAGGTAACCAGTGGCAAAAGAAATGAAGTGCTTTAGATTATACTATTACTCACCATCCAAGAGGAAGAAGAGATAACAATGAACAGATTCCAACACTAAAAGGAACGCTTTACACTTCCCCCATACTCTTTTATTAATCTAATTATATTATACACAAGTCTCACATTTCTATAGGGTATATTTACACCAATACTGGGATGAACAAGTGAAGTTCAACTATCCCTGGATTTCTAAATGGATTTTGTTCTGCAATATAATAATAACAAAATGTTACCACCACTGTGAGTTAATATCTTTCAGAAAAGGTGCATATACATGTTGGGCGACGTACAAAATTTTCTAGCTTATATATAAACCCTAGAGAACAGTTAAATCTGGCTATACTGATAATCATCTGACTACAAACTCTCTAAAGATAATCAATTCATTGCAAACAATTACCTGTATAGTAGCATCACCCATTATGTATTTTGATCCCTCTATTACAGCCATATATGAAAATCTTAGCTGGTCAGGAGTTTGAATAAGTCCCATTCGGTACTTTCTCATATTCAGTAATACTTGCTTAATGTCTACAGAATATGGATCTTCTCTTTTTTCCATCTGTTGAAAAAACAAAAGAGAAATGGCTTTTGCAACAGCTGTACAAATTACGAGCAGAGTGGACACAGTTTTCAAATGAAATCACTGAAATGCATATATTTCTGTTCACTCATTCCAATAAAAAATGTTGATACTTAATAAACAAATACTCAGATCTCACTGATCAATTTACTCTCATACTTGTGGGAATACCAAGAACAATTTCCCAAAAAATGAAGAGCTGATATTCAATATGCAATACTAGTTTGGCAGGTCCTTTTTATGTCAGTGTAAAAATAATTTATTTTGATCTCTCGCCTGTTGAAACTGAACAATTTTCCTTATAAAAGCAACAAATTTGATAATCTAAAATGCAAAACAAATGTATGTTCTGTGTATTTGTTGTTGTTTAGTCGTTAAGTCGTATTCGACTCTTTGTGACCCCATGGACAAAAGCACCCCAGGCCCTCCTGTCCTCCACTGCCTCCCGGAGTTGGATCAAATTCATGTTGGCCGCTTCGATAACACTGTCCAACCATCTCGTCCTGTGTCGTCCTCTTCTGCTCTTGCCCTTATACTTTCCCAACATCAGGGTCTTTTCCAGGGAGTCTTCTATTCTCATGAGATGGCCAAAGTACTGGAGCCTCAGCTTCAGGATGTGTTGTTCCAGTGAGCACTCAGGGTTGATTTCCTTCATAATGAATAGGTTTGATCTCCTTGCAGTCCAGGGGACTCTCAAGAGTCTCCTCCAGCACCACAATTCAAAAGCATCAATTCTTCAGCGGTCAGCCTTCTTTATGGTCCAGCTCTCACTTCCATACATCACCACAGAAAAAATCATAGCTTTGACTATGCGGACCTTTGTCGGCAAGGTGATGTCTCTGCTTTTTAAGATGCTGTCGAGGTTTGTCATCGCTTTCCTCCCAAGAAAGAGGTGTCTTTTAATTTCGAGGCTGCTGTCTCCAACTGCAAGTGATCATGGAGCCCAAGAAGGTAAAATCTGTCACTGCCTCCATATCTTCCCCTTCTATTTGCCTGGAGGTGATGGGACCAATGGCCATTATCTTAGTTTTTTTTTATGTTGAGCTTCAGGCCATTTTTTGCACTCTCCTCTTTCACCCTCATTAAGAGTTTTTTTTTAAATTCCTCCTCACTTTCTGCCATTAGAGTGGTATCATCTGCATATCTGAGGTTGTTGAGATTTCTTCTGGCAATCTTAATTCCATTTTGGGATTCCTCCAGTCCAGCCTTTCGCATGATACATTCTACATATAAGTTAAATAAGCCGGGAGACAATATACAGCCTTGTCGTACTCCTTTCCCAATTTTGAACCAATCAGTTATTCCACGGCCAATTCTAACTGTTTCTTCCTGTCCCACATATAGATTTCTCAGGAGATAGATAAGGTGGTCAGGCACTCCCATTTCTTTAAGAACTTGCCATAGTTTGTTGCGGTCCACACAGTCAAAGGCTTTTGCATACTCAATGAATCAGAAGTAGATGTTCTTCTTTGGGATGATTTTTGTTGCTGCCTCTTGTACAACATAACGAGCATCTATTCCAAGTTCTTCAGGCACTCTGTCCACCAAATCGAGTTTCGTAAATCTGTTCTTCACTTCCACTGTGTATTCATAAGGGGTCTGGTTTGGATTATATCTGACTAGCCCAGTGGTTTTTCCTACTTTCTTCAGTTTAACCTTGAGGTTTCCTAGAAGAAGCTGATGATCAGAACCATAATCAGCTCCAGGTCTTGTTCTGCTGACTGTATAGAGCTTCTCCATTTTTGAATGCAGAGAATATACTCAATCTGATTTCGGTATTGCCCATCTGGTGATGTCCATGTGTAGAGTCACCTCTTGTGTTGTTGGAAAAGAGTGTTTGTGATGACCAGTTTGTTCTCTTGAAAAAACTCTATTAGCCTTTGACCTGCCTCATTTTGAACTCCAAGGCCAAACATACCTGTTGTTCCTTTTATCTCTTGACTCTCTACTTTAGCATTCCAGTCCCCTATAATGAGAAGAACATCTTTCTTTGGTGTCAGTTCTAGGTGTTGTAAGTCTTCCTAGAGCTGGTCAATTTCAGCCTCTTCAGCATTGGTGGTTGGTGCATAAACTTGGATTACTGTGATGTTGAAAGGTCTGCCTTGGATTCGTATTTAAATCATTCTATCATTTTTGAGATTGTATCCCATTACAGCTTTTCCCACTCTTCTGTTGACTATGAGTGCTACTTCATTTCTTCTATGGGATTCTTGCCCACAATAGTAGATATGATAATCGTCTGACTTGAATTTGCCCATTCCCATCCATTTCAGTTCAAAGATGCCCAGCATGTCAATGTTTATTCTTGCCATCTCCTGTTTGACCACATCCAGTTTACCAAGGTTCATAGATTTTACATTCCAGGTTCCTATGCAGTATTTTTATTTGCAGCATCAGACCTTCCTTTCACTTCCAGGCACGTCCGCAGCTGAGCATCCTTTTAGCTTTGGCCCAACTACTTCATTAGCTCTGGAGCTACTTGTCCTCCGCTCTTCCTCAGTAGCATATTGGACACCTTTCGACCTGAGGGGCTCATCTTCCAGCATCATATCTTTTAGCCTTTTGATTTTGTCCATGGAGTTTTCTTGGCAAAGATACTGGAGTGGCTTGCCAGTTCCTGCTCCAGGTGGATCGCGTTTAGTTAGAACTCTCCACTATGACCTGTCTGTCTTGGGTGTCCCTGCATGACATAGCCCATAGCTTCTCTGAATTAATCAAGCCCCTTCGCCACAACAAGGCAGCAATCCGTGAAGGGGTATACCCCACCACTGACAGCAGCTCTTCGTACAATATTCACTGTAAATCACAGAAAGACCTAACATTCCTGGTCACATCATGGTTTGCCAGTTGGGAACAACATGTATATCTGTTACTGTTTCTCCCCGAGGTACCCAGGTTCAGAGAAGCTATCCTCATCACTTAAAACAGTTTCTCATTGTGTCTAAATTGGAGAGTTGTGGTTCGAGCAATCCTTATAAACCATGATCAAACTACATCTTGTAGCCCAGCTTTGTACATACTCTTCAAACTAGGACTGCTTCACAGTAGTTTCCTAATTACATGGAATTGGTTTAACAAAATGGAAGTTTTTTTAAAAAACTTCAGTAGTGAAGGGACATATACTCAAGCTTGTTCTCATTATAGCAAACCACCATTTGTTGGGAAAAAACATGACATATGAACTAGGCCACTCGCTACTATACTGTAAGTATATCCAAAATAAATTATTAGTTAAGGATGACTAATCTTAGTTTTCAACATCAAATATGTACACTATTTTACGTCCACACTGCAAAATTGACATTTCCAATTATTAATATGGGTGTGCTCTTTTGTTTTTTTAGACTGTAATTCCCAGGATTCTCCAGGCAAATTTTGAAAATTTCAGCTTTGAAACATGTACCTAGAGACACCTACCATGGTGCTTCCTGGAAATCATGTTTTGCTGCTCACTTGGATCAGGGCCTACAGCTATAGAAGTTGCCTGCTGAAGAACTATGAGTCCTACAGCTGCTTTCTTTTTCATTAACAAACAGGAAATGAGGTCAGAGAAAGCCATGTAGAAGTAAAGCCTGCTCCCGGTGAGTAAAACACAGGGTCTATAGTAGAGATGGGATATCCTGGGGTAGACTAATACAAATAGAACCATCACAGGTGGCCAGGCCCTTTGGGCCATCTCTCCAAAACGAGTAGTCCACTCCGCATGCCACACACCTCCATCATTGGTAACAATATGCCAATCGCAGAAGTAGCCTGGCTGGTGCTTCCCTGCATGGGAACTACAAAGCTCCCATGTCTAGTCTGTAGGTGCATATTTACGTATTGAAACTCCCAGAATTTTGCCTGGGAGGAGGATTCTTAAGAAAATTCTGGGAATTGCAGTCCAAACCATGAATATGTGCACACCTAATTATTTAGGAAAAATATTGAATTAGGTTTTTTTCTCCATATCAATCCAAAGTAACTATACAGCAGGCCTTGAATAGGTATTTGGGAACAGACTTACCAAGACAAGACATGTGTCTACCAATGAAAATGTACCAGATCGTCCAATTCCAGCACTACAGTGAATGACTGCAGGTCCATGTTCAGGGCTCAGAGATCCAGATTCTCTGACTTTAAACAAGAAGTTAAGGAATGAAGCAGGGGATTCAGGAACCCCAAAATCTGGCCATGTAGTATAATGAAAATGGAATATCATCCTGGACTCACCAGTCTGAAAAAATAAATTATTCTTTATAGCAATTAATTCAGTCAGATTTAATACGTTTATGCATCTAAGCAAAAGAATATCCAATCATATAGCTAGCTTAGAATTGTAATGGTCCGAGGCACTACTATGGAAATTCTTGCTGAAGCTCCAACACTTCTTGTGTCATGCAATTACATAGAATTAGCACCTAAATATAACTGTAGTTAAGTTGTAAGTACAGCTCTTGCCACGTTCAATATTGTGCTATATAAGATTCAGCAAGCTCAATGGGCTTTGGGACCAAATTTGTGTCCCCAAATGCACCAAACCCCTCCAGGCTGCAAGGAGCCCAAAATGCTTATTTTGGACCATGGGGAAAAAATAAAAAGGGGAAAACCTGACATACATTTATGGTTTGTTTTTTAAAATTTCTGTGTGGTAGGACTCCTGCCGCCGAGCCAAACCTAGTTTCTCTGCTTTGTTAGGTAACTATAGTTATAGCACTGATGTACAATTAAGCGTTGCCTCATCACAGAATCTTTGTCTCAGCTAATTGTATCAAATAGTGAAGACATATCTTTTCAATTAGTTATTGTGCTTCCAAAAATACAAGAGTGTCAACAGGGCACCTCTCTTTGCTTATCTGTGTATGAAGGGACAGATATGCTCCTGCAGAGAACTTGTCATAGGATGAAGACACTTGTGACTGAACTGAAATACACCCTATTTATATGCAATATCTTCCAAGGAAAGATTAATTACTACATATGTCATAAGAATTTGGGAGGCAATGTGCATAATTTTGATGAATGCTTACACTGATATTTTCTAGCTGAAGCTGGCGTACAGTATAGTAAGATTTCACATCTTCAGACTTTAGCCTCACACAAAATCCTGTTTCTTTGAATATCATTTGCTCTTCTTCCTTTGATGGCCAGTATTGTTCACATTTCACCTAGATTGTAAAAGAATATTATACTAAGAGCTTGTCAAAGATAAACAGGACATACATATAATTTATTTATAATTTTAAAATATTCTCCACATTGAAAATCAAACCAGTATCACAGAGACTTACTGGAGTGCCCAGAAAAATTCTTCCCCTTTGTTTCTAGATTCTAGATTTGTATTGTCATCAAGAGATTAAGAATAATACTTGCTCACTTCAGTGAAGAGAACAAACTATGTTTTTTGTCAGTTCCAGTAGCTTATAGGACAGGATGTGTACATACTTATATGTACTGATGTAATATATGCAAACAGAAAACATCAGTGTACTGCCCAGATTTAGATTTCTTGATATGGTTACAATGAATCAGCACCTCATATTTAATTAACTTTCTCTAAGATCCTCAAGATTTATCTTGTGAGGCAACTACAAATAGAACATTTGCAGCATATTTTGAGAAACCCTTTTAAATAAGACATGTTTTACTGAACTTGGTAGTGCCTTAGGCTACTACAAATCCTCTTTAAACACTATGCATCTACTTCTATGTAAATCTCTTGGCTCATAAGGACAAATAACTTTGAATATCTAGGTAATTTAAATGAAGACCTCAAACTCAGAGTAACCATACCCCAATTAATTGTAAATTGAGGCTAATTTTACAGATTTCAGTGCACAACTTTTAATAGTCAAGACAACTCACCGAATCTTTCTCAACAATTCTGTTCAGCATAACAACTGCTTTGGTCTTTTGTTGCCATACCATTAACCAAAAATGGCAACATGTGTTAGGAAGTGGACCCTGTACAAGAGAAGGGGCATTCAATGAGCAATTAAAGTGGTCCTGGTCTGAAATAGCAGTTAATTCTCAGAGTACAATTACTTAGTTTAAGATTATATAAAGCAACACAGCATAAAAGGTTCTATGGCTGGCACCCAAATATCCATTTGTGTCATAGTGAAGATGCAACTTTTCAGAAGTATGGAATGGGAGAATATTAGAACAAGTAACTCATTATAAATATTTGGGCATGATGTTCCACCAGTCTGGTTCCTGGGCAGCCCAGATTGACTTCGCAAAGCAAAAATTTGAAAAAGCCATGTTTGGTATACTTATATTCTATAGAACTAAAGGAGGGCGTTTGGTCCCACCCATCTGTGAAATTTATAAAATCAAGCTACTTCCCTAGATTCCGTATGGTACTGAAATATGGGGAACTGGAAACCTAACCTCCTTAGAAGTAATCCAAAATAAATTTGCTCGATTAATCCTGGCAGTCTCCCTTTCAACCCCCTCAGCATTTCTTAGACTAGAGTTGGTACTAATGACAATAATGACATTGGTCTACAAGTTAATAATTAATTACTGGCTGAAAATTCTGTTCATCACTAAGTCAGAATTTTTAATATCATCATATGAGGAGATGAATTTTGGATTGGGGAAACTTTCTGCATTGCAACTAGTTGCTAAATGTGGATTCTCAGAAGAGTATGAGACACCTTGGCCTACCCACTGCAAAACATTTTCTGAAACAGATTGTCCGACCACTGGGTTCAACTGGAGTTAGGTCTGTTAGGCACCCTTAAACGGCCCTATATAAGAACATTCTATCCTTGCCTTTGAATTTCATCTTATTTCGTTGATCTAAAGAGTTCTGATTATAGAAAAGCTTTTACTTGGGCACATTTTGATATGTTACCAGTAGCCATTTTATTAGGCTGCTATACACAAATTCCGTATCACAAGAGAGTTTGCTCTTGTGGTAAAAAATCAGTGGAGAATTTGGCACATGTAGTGCTCTGTTGTCAACTATTAGACACCTATTGTGAAAGACTCCTTAATCCTATTTTACAAAAACACTCTAGTAATTCTAAACAAGAAAAACTCAAGAGTCTACTTTATGGCAGAGACAAATTTGTCACATTCTGAATGGCACGCTTTATCTCTACATTGATAAAAATGAAATCTGTATCCCCCACCTCTATCAATTAAGTCAATATTTAAGTAACTACATCTTTGGGGTTATTCCTCCCACAATAGGTGCTTGCTGCTGGCATTGGTTAATGTTTTCCATCTGTCTTTGTCCTCTCCTTAGATGTCAACATTTTGTGCTGTAATAGATTCTACATTGCTTTTAATATTTTATTGTACTATATTTTAATGGAGTATATTATACTGTTTATACCATTTTATATTGTTTTATCCGATATACGTTGCAATGGCCTGTGTGCCACACAATAAACTTATTTTGCTTGCTTGCTACTTTTCAGAAGCAGGGGGTGAGCACATATCACACTCACATGGAGCTGCAGTGGAAAGGTGAGGTAGAAGCCTCGAAAGATGGCTAGAACTCTGCACAGAACATGTCAAGAATGGCTCTGTGTGAAGACTTCCTGCTCTCTCTGACAAGCAAGAGACTCCTCACTGAAAACCACAAATCCTTGTTCACTACACTGAACGAAACAAGATTATTTGCAGTTTGATTCAAGCCAATGATGTGAAATAGAAGTCTTCAAGATACCATACTAGAAAATGACTCACAATTAAGTCAGTACATGTATATAACTATATGAAATTTCAAGGCCCTTTATACAAAACTCTTATAGAGTTAAAGTACAGGTCTGATTTTCAAACCTGAACAGTATTTGTAATTATTAAATGATTACTGCAGTCAGGAAGACCTGTTAAGACTACTCATTTTCTATTAGGTTGCAAACATTTTAATATTTTGTTATACAAAGCTCAGAGAAGGCGGCTTATTTATAATTGGTTAGAGCTCCACATGTCCTTTTCCCAATAGGATTTCTTCTATTTCCAGAAGAGAAGGAAAAGACTCAGTGGAAGTTCACTACCAGAGGGAGGGTGCCAGGTAATGATTTTTGGAAAAAAAATCTCCCCTCCTACAGCTGTTAGCAAACTTTCAAAACATATGCACACTCTGGTCCTGAAGATCCCAAAACTGTGTACAATGGCTCCTCAGAGGGGCATAGAAACAAGGCAGAATCAAAGAAAATAATTGTCCAGTTTCCTTTCCCCTGCACCAAGAAGACACAGGTGACTATAACTATGGATTCAACATTCTGTCAATACTCTTAATGTGGAATGCAGGGAAGCAAAAGATAATTTTATGATAATTTGTTGACATTTTGTTTTCATCTCCATATATTATTTTTTGTAAAGTGATATTTATTATCTCCCGCTAGAGAGTACATGATGTTTTTCTTTTAAAAAAGACCCCCAAAGTTCTAGTATTTCTAATACAGTAAAACTGCAGAACTCCAGCCACATAAATCAAACTGCCTGATATATACTGAAATCAATTTATGAAATGAAAACCAGATTTTTATGTTTTATGTCACGTTATGATTGTAAAGATATGAATGGTCAAATTAAAGCACAAAAAATTATTAAAACACTTGAGACAGCATGTTCTCTCATACTTTTTTATTGTTATATGGATATACCCATAAATTCTGCCCTGGTTCCAATGATCATTTCATGCTTCATCCATCATGGATTCTTAAACAAGGAACAAGTATCAGAGATAGGTCTTCACTCCTTCTTATGCCCCCTTTTACTTCACCTTCAGTGCAAAGACCCTGATTCGCTCAGATTGGGGTAATCTGGAGGGCACTTGCACTCTACCTGAGTCTACACAGGTTAGCTCTTCTCCCATGAGGCTCTGAATTCCCACCCTCTGGCTCCACAGCCAATGACCCAACTAACTCAGTTATCCATCCTGCTCCTAGCCATATAATACAATATAGTGCCTAAATGTCTATTAATACTTACCTGTGTTAGTATATAATTTCTCTGAGCTTCTTCATTAACCACCAAGCTTGCATTGATGTAATCATTGTCTGTGTTCTGCAGTATCACACGACTATGATCATCTTTAAATAAATATAAAAGTAGAGATGATTTAAACTTTCAATACTGACTTCTTGAGCTGACTTTGTGCACAGTTCTCAAAATACTATTACTGAAGGAATTGTGGTAGATGAAATCCAATTAATGTCCCTGTTCCAAAGGAAGAGGGCCAATTCATCTTCCATTTCTAAAGATGTTTTGTGGGCTCCTCTGGAGCAGGCTTGGGGAGGTGTAGGGTAACTGTAGGTAAAGGAGAACATGAATTGCCACTGTATGAGCATGTGTCTACTTGAATAATGCTGAATGGTACCAACTGCATTTAAGCAATCTGTATCACGTCTTACATCAATTTGTACAATTCATTTCATTCATTATTGCTAAATGCTTTGTTGTGTAGCAACAGAATTTGCTATAATGACACATGACCACACCTCTAAAAGCAGTGTTTAAAGCAAATGAAGACAGTAAATACTACATGGCAACATACTATGAAGCAAAAATAGGAAGGATCCCAACATTCTCCATGGATTCTATTTTATGCGATTTATTGACAGTATTCATTTCATTTCATTTCATTTGTATGACACCTTCCTCTCAAATAAGAGACTCAAGGCAGTTCACAAGTTATTAAACACACAAACCAACTAAATCATGAGCCAACAATTAAATATAACTATTAAAAAAATTATGCTTCATTGCGTGACCGGATACAATGATGGAGCATGTGTGTATCACATCATTACTTATACACAGCACGAACATTTTACAGATGATGGTCTCTCCACCAAAAAAGAGTAATGACAGATAGTTCACAAGCTGTGCCACAGATACGGATTGTGAAATGCTTCTGAAAAGTACAACTGGGCAGTGTATCCACTCACAAAACTAAACCTGGAGTAAAAGGGACAGTTTTTCTCTGAGTAGTTAGTTGTTTCTGCATATGTATCATCAAACACAGACATACATACATTTAAAGCAATTCGCCTTCGTAACAGGGCTACATCTTTACAATGTGTAAGAATCTTGTTTGGGCTAAGCTAGGGAAAAGTACCTTAAATGCACATAGAGAGGCACTAACAATATGCCTCTATTGGAGGCTAAGGAGATGGGAGCTGGAAATAAAAGCCCCCAAAACCTAACTTCCTGTCACTGCCGGGGAAAAAATCCCACAATAAAGAACCAAGCACAGAGCAAACAAGTTTTCTGAAAAATTGGTTGATGTTGCTCAGTCTAAATAATATTTTAAAATAGATGGAAAAATATATGCCCTGCAGAGATTATCCATCTGTAAGCTCCAACCTGCACTGCCAGTGGCAAGCAATATTGGGAGTTGCAATAAAACAATATATGCACTCTGTTTACACTAATTTGGATATACCTCTGGTTTCCAATTGCTCTGTAATATAATATAATATAATAATATGCATAAAAAGCTCCTTCTAATGACAAGTAAAGAAACTGCCTCCTCCTCTTTCCTGAAATAGGTTCATAAAAGGGAATTTTCAGTCCTTTTCCTATATATAAATGTATGCAGTATAAGAGTTTCCAAGATGAAGGAATACAGATATAAATCTTTTTCTCAAGGCTTAAAAGCTATTGAAAAGATATTACTCACTATTTGCCATTTTCCAGAAAGCACATGATGGGAGCCCGCAGAGGCACATTTTATACACAACTGATGTAATCAGCATTTAGACACATATTTTCTAAAGTGGATGTAAGATCCACCAAATCTTAATGAATACACATATTTTAAAAACTATATTAAGCATTCAATATTTCTCTTCAAAATGAACTGTGATCTTGCTCAGAAATGAAAACATCAGGCTTTCTCTTCATGTATCAATTTATTGGAACTCAGATGCTTCTTCTGGACAGAAACCAACACCTTTGTAAATACTACATGCCACTTGCCAACAGGAAAAACTTGAGATCTTGTTATAGTAAATCACACAAACTGGTGCCAGGGTTCTCGGAAATATGACATCAGCAAGTACTGTTTTAACCATTGAATCACCAAGCAGCTGCGGTTGGATTCTATATATGAGTAACACTTTGGGCTCACTTCCATGCTTTTCTTCAGTGCAAACAAGTACACTTCTAACCCAATTTTTCAAGCTGTTTTTCTGTCCTAGCCCAAACAAACAACCCCCTCTATCATCCTTCTACATTGACAATTAAAGGGAAACTGCCCACAGTTTCATTTATCTAATTCATTTATCCACAGAAACCTCTGGTTCTAATTACAACTCCAGAGCATCGACTGTCAGGCATGTGCAAAAGAAACGGTAGCATCTGTTGTAAGAAAGTTGAGTCCACCTTTCAGCAATACGTCAATAAACCCAGGCACCCCAAAGCTTCACTTTTACTCACAAAAGACCAGAATTTCATGAAACAGATGTACATTCCATTCTGCCTGGGATGCCTCAAGTATTAATTGGGATAGCCTTTATTTATCTCATTCCCAGAAGACAAAAAAAGTGATCCTTTCCTTGTTCAACTGCAAATCAGGCTTTTGTTCAGATCAACCTGGTTCCTAGTGAATGGAATGGAAAGTGTCCCAGTATCCTGGGACAGAATATGGCAATATATAGAGAGAATAAAGATTCTCTCTCTCTATATATATATATATAGAAAAAATATTTACAGTGGTGACTCGCATTACGATGTTAATTCATTCCAGTGAAATCGCTGTAGAACGAAAACATCGTAAAGTGATTTTAAAAAGCCCATAGAAATGCATTAAAATCCGATTAATGTGTTCCTATGGGCTTGAAACTCACCGTCCAGCGAAGATCCTCCATAGCACGGCCATTTTCACGGCACGTGCAGTGAGGAATCCATCCCAGAAAACAGTGGGTGGCCTTTTTTTTACCCGGCGGCCATTTTTAAACCGCCGATCAGCTGTGTGAAAATCGTCGTTTTGCGATAATCGGTTAGCGAAGCAGGGAACCGATCATCGCAAAACTAAAAACCCCATAGGAAACATCGTTTTGCGATCGCTTTTGTGATCGCAAAAACTTCGTTATGCGATTTTGTCGTAAAACGAAGCGATCGTAAAGTGAGGCACCACTGTATATATTTGTTCTATATAGAGAGAGAATAAAGATTTATTATTCAAGCCAGTGATTCCCAACCTTGGGCAAATCAGGTGTTCTTGGACTGTATTCCCAGAACCCCTGTCAGCACAGCTGGGGGTGAAAGCTTCTGGAAATTGCAGTCCAATAAATTCTGTGTTACCCAAGGTTGGGAACCACTTCACAGCTGGGGGTGAAGGCTTCTGGAAATTGCAGTCCAACAAATTCTGTGTTATCCAAGGTTGGGAACCACTGGATTATGTAAACATGCTGTTGTAAAAATGATTAAAATGATGTTTTGTATTAAGTACAGTGGTGCCTCCCTTGACGAGGATAATCTGTTCCAGCGAAATCGCTGTAGAACGAAATCCTCATCAAGCGAAATGAAAAAGGGTGAAGGCTTCTGGAAATTGCAGTCCAACAAATTCTGTGTTATCCAAGGTTGGGAACCACTGGATTATGTAAACATGCTGTTGTAAAAATGATTAAAATGATGTTTTGTATTAAGTACAGTGGTGCCTCCCTTGACGAGGATAATCTGTTCCAGCGAAATCGCTGTAGAACGAAATCCTCATCAAGCGAAATGAAAAAGCCCATTGAAATGCACTGAAAACTGGTTCAATGCAATCCAATTGGCAAAATACCTCAGCATCCAGTGAAGATCCTCCATAGGGCGGCCATTTTCCGGTTCCTGTCTTGCAAAAAAGCCTTCCTAAACACAGCGGGGAGCCATTTTAAACAGCGGGCAGCCATTTTTAAACCCGACGATCAACTGTTTTCTGATCCTCATAAAGCAAAAAATCGGTTTCCGAAGCAGGGAAATGATCATCGTAAAGCGCATTTTCCCTATCTAAACATTGTTGTGCGATTGCAGAAGCGATCGCATAAAACACATTGTTAAGCGATTTCCTCTTCTAACGAGGTAATCGTCAAGCGGGGCACCACTGTATATCAACTCATAATCTGGTGGCAATAATACACAAACAATTTATCTTACAAAAGTCCCATGAACTTTGATAGAATTTGAGAGAGATTTCCCTGGTATGCTTTTATACATTCAATATTTATCCTGCTTCCAGCAACACACTCGAAATAATCTGTAATCCTTATTTTTTTCAAGAAGTTCAGTAATACAACAAAAGCTAATGGTACCACTATGTTGCTTCTTATTTATAATCTAGTTGTCCTATGTTTAAAAAAGCTAAAAGCGCTGTTGCTCAATTCCATTAAGAAACCAGACAACATGTGGTTCATATATATAAGCTCGTTCACCAAACGAAACACTTAGCAAACACCTAAACCAAATGCCCTTAACGCTACAGAAGTTACTAACTTAGATGGAGTAAAAATCTTGAAGCTCAATTCAAGTTCTTTCTGGAAAATGCTTAGTATCAGGCAGTATCTGCGGTTGTTTAGCTTGAACCCTCTACATGTGACAGTGTATAACCAGATGAGTAATAGTGGTATGACACAGAAAATCTCTAAACTCTGGCCAAATGATATCTGCCCACAAGAAATCTTTCTCCTCTTATTTCAACAGCATCCCAAGTCAAACAAACAGACAAATTTCACTAACTGAAATAGCATAAAATTAAAAGCAAAGATCAGTTTAAGTGTGACACAGCTTGATCTTAAACTATTAAACCAACTCTACATTACTTTTACTTAAAAAATTACAGTGCAGCCATAAGACAGAAGTTACAAATAGCTAAATAAGCACTTAACTTGCTGGGGAATCTAGATATTATTACTGTCCAGGGCTTCAAGACATGGCTGAAAGCACATAATGCTGAAACCATGCTGAAACAAGGCAGCTGTGGTTGCTACTGGGTGGAAGAATCCTATAGCAGCCTATGTACAGTTCTATGGTACCTTGTTCTATATAAAAATGAGCATATACGGGGAAAGCATCGTTTCTACATCATGTCAATGACTGTGACCACTTTAGTCTTGGTGGCTTGAATGGAGCATCACACATGTAGGAGTAACTGTGCGTAAGGAGTAGTCTAAATTATTAATAATAATTTATTTAAAGTATTAATATTCACACAATCATGACAACTTTACTAAGCATTAGATTATAGTAAATAAGATCTTACTTACATGGACTAACATCTCTGTATCTATTACGATTTCGGTTTTCTGCATACTTTGCAACTCTATGTGGGTAATCACTGGATTGGTGCCGTATATCCTGAAGAAACAAAGGTAATATATTAAGTTCTAAAGTCACATTTATTCATTGGCAGTGAAAACAAAAGGTACTAAACAGTAACTGCTTTGCTAAGCTACAATTGAACTTTCTCTTCTGGATTTCTTTTAATCCTTTCTTCTTTAAAAACTGAACACACATTTCTTAGGACCATATCTCTAATGGGAACACAGTAGAATAGAAAATTTTATACCGTGTTTAAGAACTGCTGGACCTAAGTTGCTGAATCAATCCACTGCAATTAACATAAAAACTTCTTTTGAAGTTTAACTACTAATTTAAAGCATTAAATGGGCCAAGGTAGTCTCTGCATTTTCAAAGAATTTTTTTTTAAATAAAAGACTAATCTGAAGCTGTAGTAACAGTGTTTCAGGAAATGCTGAATGATGATCAGAGAATTAGGGCTAAATCCATTGCTCTGCTACTGGTGAAAATTTTAAATGTTTCTTGCCCACCAAGCCAAAAACTGGCTTTAGATGGTTTCTGAAACTTCTACAGCTGGTTTCTGGTATCCACAAACTTCTGCAATGAAGGAGATAATTTCAATCTCATTTTAACTAAATTCTCCTGTTTCATCAGCAGACGTCCATCACAGGATGCCACCCCAGATAGTCAGAAAACTCTTATAATTTACTAGTGACACAAGAGGACAAGAACATACGGACATTCACCACACCTAACAGCGTAAAGAAGTCAACTGTCAATTGGAGAAATATAACTTGCTGTAATAGCACAATGTTTTTCAGTCTTCTTAAATCCATGCTTCCTTTTGGTAAAAACAAAAATCTCATGCCACATTTCAAACTTTCCTCCCACAACTATTTCAGCTGAAATCTGAAATATTGCAGTTGAGATGAAAGGTGAGCTGGTGTTCCTGTCTCTATGTTTATTCCGTCACTGACACTTGGGAAAGTTTTGAGCACCAAAGGCAGGTTTGGTTGGGGCATTTATAAGGAAGTGCACATTGACACCATCTATTCACAATGAAATAAACATTACAGAATAACTCAGAAATGAAAGATTAGGAGAACAAAAGGTGCATCACCATACATTACTCAACTTTGCAATAAGCTAAGAATAAAGGAAATAATAGGTTTCATTCTTTTCTTTTCGTCTCCCAATTTTTTTAAAAAAATCATTTTTTAAAAAAAATACATATATCCTTCCATAAATGCCAATATTACTGGGTAAGAATGCCCCAGTGGTTTAGAATCACAGTAAAAGCAGAAAGCCCATTACAATCAACCTGCAACAAATGAAGGCAAATTCTACATTACAAATCACTAGAAAAAAGACTAAAACTGAAAAATCATAGTGCTGTCACTGAAATCTATGGTGTAGAAGAAAATGTACAGCATTCTGATCACACCTTCATGGAAAAGAGAGGAAGGGAAGGTGACTGCTTATAAGGCAATATGTGTGTATCTTTAAAAGAAAAATAAAACGACTATTTAATTCCTCTGGGAGGAACCAGATCAGGACCAGGCCTTGGGTACATGGTGCTCCATTTCTAGTTTTCTACTCTGTTTTAGCTGTCACCCATAGATATTCAGAAGTCTTTTGGGTTGCATCTTATTTCTAATTAGAATCCATTGACTTGGATACTACAATGTAGGCATCCTTCAGTCTCGAGAGACTATGGTAACATGCTCTGAATAAAGGTCTTGGAACAGCATCTGGTGCAGCTGAAAAGGCCAATTCGAGAGTGACAATCCCTTCCACACTGAAGACAAATACAACCTATCCCCTGTCCAGCTCCCTGATTTCGCTGGTTTCAGGGCTGCCTCTTGGCCTTGGCCTGCTGAACAAGTGCCTCTTCAAATTACTGGGTACTGCAACAGTCAGAGAAAATGGAAGAACTATCCAAATTAAGATTCCAGCAAACTGTGGGAGTTCCTGGAAATATGTCTTTATGTGTAGTGAACAGTGCAGAGGAACATATTATCTAGCTCAGTGGTCCCCTTGGGCATCCAGATGTTCTTGGACTTCAACTCCCAGAAATCCTGGCCAGCAGAGGTGGTGGTGAAGGCTTCTGGGAGTTGTAGTCCAAGAACATCTGGAGGCCCAAGGTTGGGGACCACTGGTCTAGCCCATGCCCCCTAAAAGATCTCATAAGCCCAGGCATTAGCCTCTATACTGGTCTAACAGAAAAACTTAGCATAAGTGTAAAGTTATGAGCTATGTTTGAGAATGTGGGCAAAAAAGTTATTTCCAGCGACCCTATTTCCCTGAAAATAAGACCTAACCTGAAAATAAGCCCTAGTATGATTTCACAGGATGCTCGTAATATAAGCCCTACTCCAAAAATAAGCCCCAGTTAAGTGAAACCCTGCCTTCCACCATTGTGCAGCAACCAGATGACATGACTGTATGTGAATAAATGTAGATTGTTGTACATGAAAAAAAAACATCCCCTGAAAATAAGTCCTAATGCATTTTTGGAGCAAAAATTAATATAAGACCCTGTCTTCTTTTTAGGGAAACAAGTTTGATTAGCAATATACGTTCACGGGTGGTAAGTACAGTGGTGCCTCGCTTAGCGATTGCTTCATTTAATGATGAAATCACTTAGCGATGACTTTTTCGGAGCGATCTTGTGCTCCGTTTAACTATGGTTCCTATGGGTGATTTTCGCATAGCGATGTTTGGGACCATGCTTCGCATAGCGATGACAGTTTCGGTCCCCCTGTTTCGCTTAACGATCGTTTTGACAGCCTCATGTTGGCTGTTTTTTAAATGTTTAAAAATGTTTTAAAAATGTTTAGAATGCTTGAAATCATAAGAGCACTTAATAAACCCTTTGTTAAACTAATTTGACTTTGTTCTGACTCTTTGTAAATTTGTTGTAATTTCCCCCCCCCCATTGAGATGCATTGAATAGGTTTCAATGCATTTCAATTGGGGAACCATGTTTCGCTTAGCGATGTTTCCTATGGCGATTTTCGCTTAAGGACGGCAATCCGTTCCCATTGGAACAGATTATGCGGTTTTCAATGTATTTCTATGGGAAACCGTGTTTTGCTTAGCGATGAAATTGCTTAACAGCGATTTTTGGGAACCAATTATCATTGTTAAGTGAGGCACCACTGTACTAGGATTCAGAGAAAGCACTCCAGTAGATGAAAGGGGTGGAGATTTTAATGCTATAACTTTGAGGGCAGCATAGAGGCAGGGGGAAAGGGGGAGCTGCAAAGATTGCCTTTCTGTCCCTTTCTTCTGTTAAGGACTATTCTGGATACAATCCAATGTACAAAACACATTCCACTGGTACAGATGGCTTTAAAAAAATAACTAAATTATTTTATTGGCAATGTCTACTAGTAACTGTTTATTGTGACACCTAGAAATGAAGCTTCCAGGTTTAGTAGTAGTATATTGTTAAGAACTAGATGTAAAGATTGACCACCTTGGTCATCCCCATTTCATATTACTCAGTGATTTAGGTATCTGGCTGCAGAAGCAGAGGTTGTGAGTTCAATTCTCCACTGTGCCTCCTGTGAGTAGGGCCAGTCTGTGGGCAAGCTCCATAGTCCCAGGGCACCCCTAGAAGAAGGGAATGGTAAACTAAGTATTCTGTACCTGGAAAATCTTGAAAAGGGTTGCCATAAGTCAAACTTGATGGCATATGATAATTATTATTAACAGTGTCTTACCAGGAACAGTTTTAGTTGATGTTAAATTAGATGGTTTTTGTTCTGATCCTGCAATACAATGCTTAATTCAAAATCATAGATATTTCTAGGAAGCTTCTAAAGTTATTAGAAAAGCTATAGGTTATGACTAAAGCCAGGTTCTTTACCACTGGACACAGATATTTTTCAATATACAAAGTACTTCATTGTGCAAAGAACAATATTAAGATCAAAGTGTGGTGATTATACTGAGGTGTTCCAGTAATAGCTATATCAGTACATTAAAGTAGTACAAAATGATCTTTTGATAATAATATGAGTGTTTTTGTTAATACATTATTTAAGCTCCACTGGACCTAGCTTAAAGGAGCTATAAACAGGCAAGGTCATGTACAAGTGCTGAACTACAGAATCACAGCTGCATCACTGTATACAATGATGATCTCTCAGACAAACCAAACCAAAAAAAAACTGGTTTTCACAAAGATTTCGTGAGATTTTTTAAAAAGAACTTAGCCCTATTTAGGCCTTTTATGAAGGCAACAGCTATTTGTCTTAAGCATTGATATAAGATTTAAAAATCCAGTGGCCGGTATCCTATTCCATAACTTTGCTGGCATAGCAAGAATTAAGTTATTGGAGGACTGCTGCTAATTCAAAAGTTCCTGCTTTGATTTTGAGCTGCATGGAACTCTTGGAAAATAAAACAAAAGTTGTGCACAACCTTAAACAGAACCAGGAAGTCTTTAACTAGGGCAATCTGCCGCCGCCTATTATTCCAGCTACTCCGGCAGGGCTACAGAACAGGACAGCAGCCATTATGACAATATGTCCCAGTTATGCTGTTTCTTTAGAAATGAATCAAAACTACTAGAAGTTTCATTTTCTCTATCATGATTGCAGATGAGGCAAACCCTAAAATCTCAAAAAGGAATGAATTTTAATAAAAAGAATTTGCTGCAGTGCTTGTGAAAATGAATAACAAAAAGGAATTAGGATTTCTGGTATTAGCACCCACAAATATTTGTGCCAGATAAAGCTATTTCATGTTTAAGGCACCACATGACTCTGCTTTCGCTGTAGAAAACTAACACAGCGCTTTGGTATTCAAAAGTAACAAGTAATCTCATAACACATAGAATTTTGTTCAAAAGACCTACATGAGCCTCACCTATTTCTTAGCCCATCACAACACTTGGGCAACATTAAGACATAGTTTCATGAATAAACCAAGTACAGTAAAACAACCAAGATACAACTGCTTGAGGGACAAGGCCACAACATTTGTTTTGATCACTAGTAGATACCAAGTGCTATTAATTTAAATCAGATACATTTCTGAGAACATTTTAAACTTAATAATAAATTCAGGGTAAAATATGAGTAGTCACTGATACGTTTCAGTTGGATCCTTCTCTATGATGCTCCTCTCAGAATGTGTTACCAAACCAAATGCCTGCCAAGTATTTCACACTAAATTTTATTAACATTATTCCTGATTGGTATAAGGATTCCTTACAGATTTGTTGGTGATATTCTGAATTCTATCTGTACATTTTGGTATCTTAACAGCTAACTGAGTTATACAGAAATGTTTGTGGACTAGACTTCACTTCACCAAATGCACCAATTTTATTCTCAGTTGCAGAGAAATATATAAGCACATAGTTGGGGGAGGAAATACAAGCAGCAAAGTCAGAAGAGAAGTGTACAGAAAACAAAAGACAGTGACAGTTTAATTCAAACTTGAATGTTTGCAAAATAGCCACACGGGCCCTTTACAGCAGTACTGATAGCTGACAGCACTTACCAATGCTGACTTGCTCAACACCTGTAGCAGGAGAAGAAACCATTATCTATCAGGCAGAAACGAAGAACATTCAACTTCTCAGTATACTCTAATTCAGCATTTTCAGGTTTGAATTGTCCTTTCAAATGTTTTTGTCACAGTACACACCACAGTTGTACATCTCAAAATTCTTTTTGTTAACTGAAAATTTTGATTTCAAGTGGCCAAAATTTTAACTGGCTTGTATATAACTTGCTGCAGCTAATTGTGGGTAAAGAACAGGGTGTCTTAGTGCATTTTATGAATGCAATCAGGGATGTAATCAGACACACTTGAGACATAACCAGAATCTCATCAATTAGCCATAACAAGTTACACAAACACTAATAGGATTGTGGCCATTGCGTTCTTCAAAACAACAAAAACAAAACCTCACATACTCCAATATTTAAATTCGGATTCAGATCTTCAGAATATCCCTACCACCTTCATGACCTGTATATAAATGCCAAACCATAGTTTAGTGCTGGGCTTATCGTCTTCCAGATGTTGCTGAATTCCACATTTCCTCAGCCCTTGCTAGCACAGACAACAGCGACTGATAATGGAAACAACTGGTTCATCAATATCTAGACAGCTGCAAGGTCCCCATCCCTGGTTTAGCAATACACGTGTATATCTTGAGAACCTATGTTCCTCAAAGCAAGACCAGAAGTTCGACACTGTAACTATCCATTTTCAATTTACTGAGCATATTATTGCAACTCAATTTGAACACCTTAATTTTGCAGTTAATTATGGTAGAGTCTGGGTTGGCATAATTAAACACAGAGACGTTTTTACATCTCCAATGTCCCTCAAATTTACCTATTTCAGAGTTTTTACTTTGGGGCATCCCCAAAGGACACACCACCACCCAAAATGAAAAAGGAAATCTCTGCCTAGCTATCTCCTATTTATATACATTTTTAAAGGCTAAAAATTGCCATTTCTAGGACCAATGCAATCTGTGGCGGATGCTAGAAGCAAAGATTGGACTCCCAAGTTCTTGAGATCACCCAACTCAGTATAATGAAATAAGACAACTTCATGAATCAGTTTGAAGCTGGGTTATTTCCCTAAATCAGGGTTGGACAACTGTGATACCTCAGATGTTTTTGGACTGCCATTCAGATCATCCCCTGCTGCTGGGTGTGGGCCAAAAGCATTAGAAAGGGTACAGAAGCCTCATCTTGCCATAAATAAATTATTTTTAAACCACAGTTTATTTAAGTTCACATGTAATGCTAAATTTCAGTTAATTAAGAACAAGCATGATACTTTCCAGTCTCCTTACTGCTGGTCCACAGAATAAGAAAGAATAATCCCAATCTCTTTCATATAACTTAAACCGCTTAATGTGACATGTGAAAAACGCTACAGCGTAAACACAGTAAAATTCTTTGTTTAGTCCGAGCCTATAAGTTTGACCATTCATAAAACCTAGAGAAATAGGATAGTAGTTTGGTCCAAGCTTTTTTATTACAAATAACTGAGACCAAACAAAAAGAATCAGAAAAAGTAGTTCTACTGTTCATACAACTCTCATGAGAGCAGAAAAGGATATAGCAGAAGAACAACACAGGAATGGAAGCATTAGCCACATCATATCCTAACATTAAATTGTTTTAGTGCAGCACCCAAGAACATCAGCTGCCAGATGCAGGTCCCTCAGGGATAAGCACATGTAACTTTTGGAAATCTATTACCAATCAACTGCACTTACCCACTATTATATAATACATGGTAACTGTAAGGGTTAGCGACCATGCAATTCTATACATATGTACAGTATTAAGTTCCAGAGTATACACTCAGGCTTATTTGCGGGTACATAGTTATAACACTGCACAGAAGCAATGTAACCACTCAATGAATTAAGTATCCACTCCCCACAAGAAGAGTATAAAAAACAGATCTATACTGGGGCAGACAAATAATGACTTTTTATAAGATACCCTCAATAACCATCCCTTCTACTTGTAAACTATCAGAAACAACTATTACTAAAAAACAAAAACAAAAAACACCCACCCATCACTCTAAAGTAAAAAAAATGTGAAGTATGATGTAATTGATCTACATCAGATTCTACATGGAGATACAATCAGTAGCAACTCAGTCACTAAGGTTAAATGCTTCCTGGCTCAAGGTCTCAATTATACTGATTTGAAACAGCTGTGGCAAATATTTATATTTATCAAGGTCTCCAAAACACCTTATAAATACCGTAACTTTTTAAATTACTGTGTAGTAAGAAGTGGGGACTGTTAAAACTGCAATGTACTTAAGATACACAGAATCTGAACAGTTTAATTGTTTTATATTAATTATGATACTCAGTGTGTAGTGCAATGGTTCCCAGCCTGTTCACCACCAGCTGTACTGGCCAGGATTTCTTGGAGTTACAGTCCAATACCTGGGTTACCCAAGGCTGGGAACCACTGATGTAGTGGGCAGAGTGATACACTATTTATTTATTTATTTATTCAATTTATATGCCGCCCACACTACCCGGAGGTCTCAGAACTCAGGAGGGTTGGGTTTGAATCCCCACTCAGCCACAGAAGCTCACTGGTGGTGCAGAACTGGTAAAAACACTCTTTAAATACAGTATTTCATTTACCTTAAAAGCCTAGAAGGGTCATTATAATCTGCTTCTAACTTGACTGTGCATAACATGTTAATTATATGTAGCTACATGAATTTTCAATGATCCCATTAAGAGTTTACATAAGAAGCTTAAAGGTTAAATTGACATCCATTGGTCTCTAAGGCTCACAAAATTTCCAGACTCAATCCTGGGCCTATCTTGTCATGTGAAACTTCATTCAGAAACTTTCAAAAATTCATTCAGAGACTTTCTTACATGTTTTGAAATATTAATATGAATGTGAGTATGGTGGAACCCCCACGTCACGCCTGTCCATCATGGGAAACTCAGAGGCAGGGGCCTATGAGAGGACAGGAGGGGCGGAATCAAGAGGAGAGCTGAAGAGTTAGATCTGGAGGGCCAAGGTTGGACACCACTGAGTTAGAGAGTTAGACAGACAGAGAAGAGAGTTGGAGAAAAGAGGTTGCAGACAGGGAATTGAAGAGAGTTAGGAGATTGTATTGAGAAAGTTAAGATAGAATGTTAGAGAGAATAGGAAAGAGTTTAAAAGTGTAGAGAATATATATAGTCAAAGAAATATAACAGTGAATAAAAACAAACCCAACCTGAAAGCAAATGATATTTAATGAATAAGTCTAAACATCTGTGATTTACATGACATTTATAAAATCAATAAATCTGTTGAATTGGCAGCACATGTCTAAGATCTGTTTGGTATTAAGGGAATAATACCTGGTGGCAGCGTGAAGTGAGGACACACATCCAGAGGGTGGACTTGTGTTTAAAGCAAAGTAACCAAAGGAAATGGGGTGTACGTCACAGGAAGTTTTACTAATATCAGTTGTAGCCGACTCTTCGTGAACCCATGGACCAAGGCATGCCAGGCCCTCCTGTCTTCCACTGCCTCCCAGAGTTGAGTCAAATTCATGTTGGCAGCTTCAGTGACACTGTCCAACCATCTCATCCTCTGTCATCCCCTTCTCCTCTTGCCTTCACACCTTCCTAACATTAGGGTCTTTTCCAGGGAGTATTCTCTTCTCATGAGATGGCCAAAGTATTGGTGCCTCAGCTTCAGGATCTGTCCTTCCAGTGAGCACTCACCTCCGCTGGCCTTGTTGTTAGCCAAGCTTTCTAAGGCCCACTTGACTTCCCTCTCCGGGATGTCTGCCTCAAGGTCAGCAACCACATTATCTGGGTTGTCTGGGTGGGACATCCAGATCTTTCTGGTATAATTCCTGTGTATTCTTGCCCCCGCTTCTTGATGTCTTCTGCTTCTGTGAGGTCCCTACCATTTTTTGTCATTTATCATGTCCATCTCTGCACAAAATGTTCCTTTAATATCCCCAATTTTCTTGAACAGATCTCTGGTTTTTCCTTTTCTATTATTTTCCTCTATTTTTTTGCATTATTCATTTAAGAAGGCCCTCTCGTTACCCAGAGAACTCCGAAATGTCGGACTTCTTTCGTTTTTAACACCATCGCACTTATTCTGTGTTCAAACTGTACCCAAGGAACGTTCGGTCCGCACAGTTTTTGGTAAAGCAACCCTATTTCCCATACACTCGTGGTGGTGGGGGGGAGAGGGAATTCGCTCCGCAAGTACATTCCAATCAAGACAAAAGACATGAACCCTTCCAAGGTAGCCAAGGCAGCAACCACCCAAGCCCAGCATGACAACCACGTGCGGAGAGCAAACACAGAAATCATTGTGAGGAGCCCGGAAAAGCTTCGACAACGACGGGCGACGTAGCGATGACGAAACGACACCCTTCCCATTTTAACCCCCCTCCCTCTCAGCCCGGTCTTGGCGGGCCCTTGGAGTCGACCACCCACTCGCGGGTGGCGCATGCGCACTGCCAGCCTGCCTGGGCGTCCCTTCTCCCCCCTCCCCGCGCCTAGAGGCGCCTTCGCTTCCCTCTCAGTACTCAAGTCAGCCGCCTCGCTCTCCACCACCCGTTTCTTAAAAGTTACGTCGTGGGCGTTTCTTCGCTCAGCCCTCACGGCACGCATATGAGAAAGCATATAAGGTCCTCCGCCCCCCCCAAAAAAACTGCCTTCCCCTCAGCTCCCCTCCCAAAAGAGAGTCCCCCCTCCCCAGTCCCCAAACTGACTCTTCGGTTCGGTTCCGTCCCCTCCACGCCCCATCCTCGTCAACTCACCAGGTAGCGGGGCTGCCACTCGTTAGCAGCGTCGATCTCCTGGAACTCTTGCTCTATGGTGATGGACATAATGGCGGCGACTGCCGGAGGAGGAAGGGCCGCTAAAAGCCGACAAGTTCATCACCTACCTCACGTTACTGACAGGGCGAGGACGAGCGCCCTCCCCCTCGAGCCGTCGCGTTACCTTTGACTAGCGTCTTCGCCGCGCAGGCGCACACGCAGCCTCGGTGGCTCTCTGGCATTCCGGGCAGGCGCAAGCGCGACAGTAGTGTATAATGTGCGTGAATACCCCGAAGTGCGGAACTCGGCCTGTCAGCAAAAGCGCGGTACAGTAGTACATTTGGGAACGCAAGTACTCATCGTGACAATTCCCTTAGTCATAAGGAGGGTCCAAACAGAGTTCCACATCGACCCCGGATGACCGCCTTCTCCCCCTTTTTTTTCTTTCCCCACCTCTTCTTCCCTCCGCTCTTTTACTCCATCCGCTCTGGGATTAGGTGTTTTTTTAAAGGGTTATTGCTACTGGTCTTAATATTTCTATTTTTATTTCTGCTTTCTATTTCATGAGTTGTAAGCCGCCCAGAGTAGTGCTGTGACACTAATGGGAGCGGGATACAAAATAAATAAATACTGTAAATAAATATACAGTATAAATAAACATGTAGATTTGCTCCATATCAAGAAGTCTTTCTTTGGAAACACCACACTATAATTAACAGAAATATCAGATAATGGACAACATCAAGATCCTTTAGGGCAGGTAATACTGTATCAAGTCTCCCATAGTGTATATCAGTATGTGAAAAGCAGGTGTTTTATTAAATTAATGAATCTTAACTGCCTATTCAGAACCTGGCCATCTCAAAATATCTTGTATTGCAATAAGGATAAGTTTTTGTCCCTAAGCTCAAAAAGAACAGGAGCCTAATGGCAGCGGTGAGTGACGTCATAATTTCTGCTACTGAGAAAGTCCCACAATTTTGTCCCTCCATTACACCACCGGGGTGAAAATACTACATAGGAAGATGTCATGGATAGCCTTGGATATGTATGTGTGTGAACTGTTGGGGTTCATCTTTTTGTTCTCATGCACTTACATCATGGCTGTAACTGGGATGGAGCAACTGGGACCGTGCTGCACAGCAACAAAATTTAAAGAGCGCCAAAATCTAGATGCGACTCTACTGATGATAGCTAAGAAAATAAGCAGGTACACCTCCTGGTCCTATTCACTTTTCTTTTTTATTGTTAATAAGAGTAACAATAATCTTAGGACTGCATAGCTGGAAAGGACTGTATGGATCACTGAATCCAGCCCCAGTTAAGAAGACACATTGGAGAATCAAACTCCCAACCTCTGTGCCTAAGGCACTGAGCTATACAGCAGTTCATTGTTGAAAGCATACATTTTTGTTTGGGGGAACGTGTGTGAATCAGGGTGGCACAGATGAGTGATAGTGTAGATTGCCCTAGGAACCAAAACTGCTAGTTATGTCTCAGACCTTTGTTCTTATGTGTTTATATATGTAAGACACCCCAACAAAATGCACAAAAGTCATGAGATGTTTACCTTCTATAGCAGTCATAGTCTTAATTGTGAGTATATTAGACCATGTGAGCAATTCAATCTAAAGCATTTCAAAAAGTGCACTTAAAAACAATTCTACACATTAATGAACTCCAAAAGGTCCTGTAGTAGTTAACAATTTTTCCTAGGTCTTGCAAACTCAAAGCTGTAGTTTCCTTCACTGAGTCAATCCATCTCATGCTACCTTCCGTGATTCCCAGCACCATGGTCTTTTTCAGTGAGCCTTGTCTTGTGGTATGTCCAGATTATGATAACCTCAGTTTAGTCATTTTAGTTTCTTGTGAGAGTTGATTTTATCCAGAATTCTCTTGTCTTTCCAACAGCAGTTCTTCTCCAACACATTTTGAGTGAATTGATTTTTCTTGCTCTATTACAGTATAAGGAGAAAACGTTCTCTCAGTTTAATTTCCACACTATTTATGATTTTACTGTGTCTCCTCCTCTACTTGCCCTTCTTCTAATTAAAGCCTCAAATGTTGGCCTCTTGCTGTAGAGTTGCTTCAATGGTTAGTTTGTATAAAATTGCCTTAACAATTTTCTGTATTAGAGTTACCAAGCTAAGTGACATAAGTTCTAAAGGTATGAGAATACGAGGGGGTGCTGATAAGTATTGAGCCAATCCCAGAAAAAATTGAGCTAGGAAGCTATAAATTGCAGGGTTTATTGGACAATTTTGTAAAAATAAACTACCTATGATTTTAAGTTATCTTTCATGTTCAGGTCCAAAGTGAACATCGCAGCACCTCCAGAAAAGTTCAGTGTGGAAGAGCATAGGACCATAATCAAGTTCCTGTTTCTCCAAGGGAAAGATGCAAAGCAGATCCATGATGAAATGTCACAAACTATGGGTGACAGTGGCCCTTCATATGCAACAGTTAAATGTTGGGTTGTCAATTTTAAAACTGGCCATTTTGGTGTTGAAAGTGAGAAACCCAGTGGAAGGCCTGTTTCTGTCTCTGTGCCTGCAAATGTGAAAGCCATCCATGACATGATCATGGAGGACCGCTGAATATCAGCCAAAAGTATTGCTATATATCTGAGAATATCACGTGAGAGAGTTGGTGCCATTATCCACAATGACTTGAAAATGAGAAAGCTGGCAGCAAAGTGGATCCCCAAACATTTGACAACCGAACAAAAGAGGTAACGTGGAGTCATCGGTGGTGGTTTTGGAACATTTTGCAAGAAATGAGTCAGATTTCCTGGGCAAACTGGTAACTGGTGGTGAGACATGGATCTACTGTTATGATCCTGAGACAAAGGAACAGTGTAAGGAATGGGAGCGCAGTGATTCCCCCAGACCAAAGAAGTTCCGAGTGCAACGGTAGGTGCAGAAGCAAATGGCAACAGTTTTTTGGGATAAGAAGGGAGTTCTGCTGGTGGAACTACCTCCAACAGGGTTCAACCATCAATGCAAAATATTACTGTGCTTTACTGATGAAGTTGAGGCAAAACATCAAGGAAAAAAGTCGAGGAAAGCTCTCCAAAGGTGTCATCCTGTTGCATGACAATGCCTCGTCACACAATGCAGGTGAAACAATGGCAAAACTGACCTCCTTAGGCTTTCAAGTGATGTCCCATCCACCGTATTCTCCCAACCTGGCTACTTCTGACTATTATCTGTTCCCCAAACTTAAAGAAAACACCTAAAGGGACAACGATTTGGGAATGTTCTGGAGGCAACTAATGCTGCAAATAAGGGGTTACACCAGCAGTGGGAAGAATTTTGTTTGCAGGGACTTAAGAAGCTGCAGGACAGATGTCACAAGTGCATTGACTTCCTGGGGGAATATGTAGAAAAGTGTGGCAGTTACAGCTTCCTAGCTCAATTTTTTCAGGGAAAGGCTCAATACTTATCAGCACCCCCTCATAATCCAGCCAAAGTTAAGCAGCTATCAAGTCCCACTGATTTCAATGGAGTAAGTTTATGCTGAACCCTCCCACTAAGATCAGTTGGCTTCAAAAGCAATTTACTTTGGGTTGAATCATGTTCACATAATGTAAGCCCAATTGAAATCTTTCCATGAGTAATTAGTATCTACCAGGTAAAAGCCTAAACTTAGGCATGCACCTGTGTTGTTACTGAAGTTTTGGAAGAACTTTCCCATACAGTTCCTGCCTGCTTGATACAAGAATTAGAATTATGTGCAGAAATTCTCCTCTCTCCAAGGCAGAAATCCCTCCTTTAGAACACATTAATGGATACAGACTAGATATTCTCCTCAGGAATATAAGAATAAAGAATAAACTTTTTTTCCCTGTTAATATTTGTCGTAACTCTTATTCAACAAAAACTGAAAGAGACTTGCGGGAATGCAATGATGAGAGATGTACTGCGTCAGAAGCTTTGAGGAACTGAAGTCCGTTTCTGAGAAGTGCCTTTTAAAAAGAAAAGGTACCGGGAAGAAACAAACCCTAAGCAGTTGATGCCTCCTCTGAAACTTTCACAGAGTTAACTGCGTTCCTCTTTTGCTGGAAAAACAAACAAACAACCAAACCAAGTCTTATTTCCTGGCATAATGTATTTATCATATTTCAACACTATATTCCCAGAGACGAGGAACTGGACAGGATTTACTGCTTTCTTGGGAGTTAAAGCCCACTGATTCAACGGGACTTACTTCCAGATCACTGAGCGTTACACGGCACCTGTTAGTGAGCCCCAGTTTTTGTACCTTGGTGTCTAATCTCTCGTACGATCTCTCTCTCTCCTGATTAGACCCCTGCCAAAGAGATAGAGAGAGAGGGCGCGCGCCAGCTGCCCCTGCTCTGAGTTCCTGATTTTATCGGAACCGAAGAGCGCGTGCCCTCTTTCCAGGCGCCTGCGTCGGCTTCAGGCGGAGGAGGCCCAAGCGCAAGCGCCGCGAGAGGAGGCGCGATTGGCCTGCGCCTTCCTCGGGAGGCCTGACGCGACGCAATTCAACTGAGCCCGGCGCGCCACGTTTTTCGAGCCTGGGGGAGGGAAGGCAGGTAGGGCTCCGTTAGTCGCCGCGGGGCGTTGCCCGAAAGGGAGCTTGGGCGTTCCTCCTTTTCGGTGGGAGAGAAGCGCGCTTGACGAGGAAGGCGCCGCAGCCGGGATGTTCGTAGCGCGGAGCATCGCGGCCGATCACCGCGACCTGATCCACGACGTTTCCTTTGACTTCCACGGGCGGCGCATGGCGACCTGCTCCAGCGACCAGAGTGTCAAGGTGCGGGGAAGGGACCGCCGGAGGCGAAGAGGGCCGGGCCGGGAGGGGGCTAGATCGTCAGGGGAAGGTCGCCGTGTTTCTCTCGCTGTCTCTCTGCGCCTTTTCTTCCTCATACGGGAGACCGACCTGGCCCGCCTGGAGTCGGGATTTGAGGGCGCGCCTGCCAGCTTGCTTGTCCACTCTGTGGGGCGAGTGGTAACACACCTCCTCCGGGCTCTGGGGTCCCTTCTCGTCAGTCTTGGGTAGAGGTGGAGGGCGCGAATTCGCCCCTTTTGCGGGTTAGCAGGACGCGGACTGCCCTTGTTAGGAACCATGTTTTAAGCCAAGGTTTCCCCCAAAATGCTTACTTTATAGAAAATGTCCTACTAAAACGCTGTCACAACTTTGGAAGCAGCGCCACGAGGGTCATATGTAAGACGAAACAACAACAACCAGAGGCATCTTTGTCATATTTGGCCTTTACAAATGTTTATACTGTAGTTTGTTTCACAACATATGTGATGTGAATGAAGGGTTCAGTACTTTTGAAGACATCCTGGTCCTGGGTATATGGTAAATAGCAATTCAGCCCTTAATCATCAAACTTCTGTATCCTTTTAAAATTGTAATAATATTACATTGATCATGTACATTGGGCCCTTTTGAGGAGAACTATTTTAAATAAATAAAAAATAAATGTAGGTATAAGGTTCTAAAAGAGAAGTTATAATTGAAAGATAACGCTTGTCCACTCTGTGGGGCGAGTGGTAACACACCTCCTCCGGGCTCTGGGGTCCCTTCTCGTCAGTCTTGGGTAGAGGTGGAGGGCGCGAATTCGCCCCTTTTGCGGGTTAGCAGGACGCGGACTGCCCTTGTTAGGAACCATGTTTTAAGCCAAGGTTTCCCCCATCTTTGCTGAGAATTTGTGTTGCTACTACTTATGCATACTGCCTGAAAAATAAACTGACCTTGTATATTTTACCTCAGAAGTAAATCATACTGAAATCAGTGAGGTTTCAGTCATGTAAGCACAGAATTATAGTGGCCTGAAAAAGTGTGTGTCTTTACTACAGTTCACTTAGTATAGTGGTATTTGTGGCCAACTGATAACTGGTAGGTTATTGTGATTTGAAGGTCAGTGACTGATATGTTGATGTAAAAATGTCATAATGTTCTCCTTACCTCTATAGAAATGTGTAGAAGGTTATAGCCTTAGTGACAAATTGATGGAGGGTTGTGTAATTTATTTTGATTTTAACAAAGCAATGGGTTGCAGAAATTAACGCCTGAAAATTAGAGGCGTTAAGATTTTTGTATGGCAAGCTTCTGATACAAATATACTTCCACACAGAAAACAAATGTTCAGTAAGGCATTGTACTGTATTTATGTCTATTCCTGGATTTAGTGGAACTTCCTTATTAAAAGTAGTTTCCAACTGTATAGCTGTTCAGTAAAATACATATCCATGCTCCCCACATAGTATTACATGAATCTTTTCATACTACATAGTGATATATGCCCTTAAATGGTTTGTGTTTGAAATTGTTCTGTGAGTAATATGTTCTGAATATTGCCTCTGGTCAAGAGGCAAGTGTATTGTGGCATGCAAATGGTAGTCCTTTTGGAACAGAAATACATGTTTGGCTCCTTTTTGGCTCATAACAGGTGAGAATATTTGTGGTCCTGCTGGAACCACAAGCCATGGCTTATTCTTGGAATTAGGTTCCTGATACTCTCTAATAATATCGAGTGTGATGCAGTGGATGATGGATTAGGACTCAGAGACCTGGATTCAGATTCCTACATGGGCATGGAAACTAACTGGTTGTGGTGTTGTGAAATTGGTAAAACCTTAAATATCTCATTTACAGTGGTGCCTCGCTTAACGAGCGCACCGTTTAACGAAGAATCCGTATAGCGATCCCTTTTTGGGGATCGCTATACGGATCAGCCCCAATCGCCGCACTCGCTTTGCGACGATTGGGGCGTCCGGCGGCCATTTTGGAGCCGCCGAACAGCTGATC